GGACGTCTGCTTGCTTTAATTTTTATGGTTTCTTGAGTAAGGTGTAGGGCCCCTATGCTGGCTCCTGCTTAGGGCCCCAACAAGGCAAGCACCAGCTCTGCCCTGCACTGACACCTTTTTCCCAGAGCGCAGGAAAGTTTCCCGGTTATAATCTTTGACATGAATTCAGCACCACCTCGCGCGGTGCGTGAAGAGATCCGCACGCACACAGCCGTGTGTCCTCGCTCCAATGCAGCGTCGGGTGCGTACACACACACACACACACACACACACACACACACACACACACACACACACACACACACACACACACACACACACACACACACACACACACACACACACACACACACACACACACACACACACACACAGAGCTACTGCACTTATGAGAGACAGATCTCACAACAACACTGGATATGTTAGAGTTCTTTTTTATTTTCTCTCTCCCGTTTTTCCAAATGCTTTCAATAAGTTTTGCCTCACCCATCGCGACGTCCTTGATGCTTCAATATGCAGTGCTTTGCACTGATCATAGCAACAGCTCATGCACATCACACACCGCTTCTTCTATTTAAAACAAAGCCTCACGGGTGCTGATAAACGCACAGCCAGAGCTGCAGCCTTTTTGGCCACTATTCCGTTTTACGGACGTCTGACGGGCAGCAGCCATGCGCCCGGTGGAGTCCTGGCCTTAGCGTGACGCCCGCTCTCCTCCAGTCACAGAATGAGGAGCGGAGCTGTTACGAACAGGCTCTGTCCTCTGGCCTCTACAGCGCTGCTAAACACAGTAGCATGTTAGCAGAATTGGCTATAACTCCTCTAGCTGTAACTGCATACACAGAAAAACAGCCCAAACGACACAACAGTGAGGAAGAGAAGAGGGAACTAAAGCGAAAAAATGATCAAAGAAGAAACCAGGCCCGGGTGAACATAGCTAGCTTACATCGTATCCTCTGGAGAGACTTGTCTATGGGAGAGACCTGCGGGACCGCCTCGGACCATCTATGCTCGGACTACATTCGGACGCGAAACTAGAGGTCTTCTTTCAGTTATATATTTTGTTGGCAGGGCCGTTGCTTTTGTACCATTTCATCAGTGATTGTTGTACAGCTTACAAGAAGTTGCGCTCATGCTAATGTTTACATATGTATCAGATCGCAAATAAAACTATATGGCTCCGTGGGATGAGAGCGTAGGGGAAATGAGAAGCCTCTGAGCGAGTTGGGGGGCGGTGCTAAACATTCAAACTGAAAAAAACCTTGCAGAAACGGGTATAGCTCCTTTAAGCATTCTCATGGAGCTCAAGGAATTATTGAGTCATAACGGTGTGGGTTGATGTAGAGCAGTGGGCGGGACAGAGGAGTGAGGAGTTGATTTTGCATTTCAAGCAATTGAAGTATCAGGGGCACACATGGAAAATATCTGCATGCACCAGTCACATCTTACACACACACTCATCTGTGCAAACACTCCTCAAGGTCATGTGGGAATCTATATTATATGCACACAGACCATAAACAGTGATTTCCTATAGTACATGGACAGAGAAAGTAGTCTATCTTCCCATACAAAGTTATGGACTGCACTAAAAAGCAGCAGTGTCCAAAATCCACTATCCAAAATGTACATGATGGAAAGTTGCCATAAGGTTCATACACAAGCTGAATCAAAGAGCTCAAGTTTTAAATTAAATTATAGTATTTCTGTTTTGATAGTCAGGACTACAGGTATGGAGCCAGACTTCAAAGATGGCTGCCCACTCGCTTTTAGCCGTGATTGGAAAGTCTTGCGTTGGTACAAACAGGTCAGTAGAAAGTCCGACATCGCCCGTCTCTGAGGCCACTGCAGTTATTCTGGTCCATGACGCCGGCCAGTCTCCTCCACAACTCAAGTCCCACCATAGTACTCACCAACCATGCCAAAGGCCCAGTCAGAGAGACAGCACCTACACCCACCACTGCAACATCAGCCCCTAAAACACATCTATCCCAAGGCCCAAGCTGGTATTTTAGAGTCAACCCCTACAGTGATAATAACACTATTAGATTATTATGACATATTTTCCTCTTGATATTTTTCAAATGTCATTTCCTGAAAACATCTTTTAAATATTGCTAAATTTGGATATTCTTTGACCTGCACTCTCAATTTATTCCACATTTGTACACCTTGCACAGAAACACAAAAACCTGCTCTTTACCCTTTTAACCCTGAAGTTGATCATCCCACGTTATATTTTCTCTCTTTCTGTGAATAGTTTTTTGGATATTCTTCATATTCTTTTTTGCTTTGAACACAGTTTGTGTTGTTCCATATTCCACAATATCCAATAGCTTTAGCAATTTTGATGCACCGTGTATTATGCGCACTACTCTCTTTTACAACAAAACCAGAGGTTGAAGTGCTGAATAATAATTATTGCCCCACACCTCAACACAGTAAGTAAAATATGGCGAAACAAGTGAAGAGTAAAGTGTTTTCAGGGACTTTTTTATTTATAAACTGATTTTCCTGATTTATCACTGATAGACTTCTTGATATTTTTCCCTTCATGTAACTAATGTTAGCTAATAGACAAAAACGTTTTTCATAAGATTTCTATGAATCCTTTAAAAACACTCAATGCTGAAAGAATGACTACATTTTAATGCAGCCTTCAAAATGCCTGAGTTTTTACCAATTTTCTAATTTTGTTATTTTCTGGTGGATTCGATACAAGAACATGGCAAGTTTTGAGAAGTTTTTATCCGCCAACTCGTCACTGGGTAGATGTTGTAGCCTGTACAAGTTGACCGCTTGTGTCAAATTAGTCGGCCCTTGGAGGCCCCCTGCCGGTTTCGGGGCCCCAGGGCCTGCCTTGCCTAATGGCAAGGGACGCCTCTGCTTGTCACATGCACTTTAAAGCTGGGGCACTAGACTATGAAACCACAACACACCACTTCTATCACTGGCCAAACTGACCCAGTTCTGTCAGGAGCCAAACTTCCACCAATTTACTGTCAGAAGTCATTTCTTCCAAGCATTTACCTTGTGTATGAAAACCTCTGACTCTCTGATGTTATGCATCAAACATTAAATAGATTCTCATTCCATCCCATTATATTTTGAGAGTTTTACTTGTAATAAATATCAGGAAATGTGAAAAACTATTTTTGACTCAGTGAATGTAAACTTCTGGTTGACTGTATGAACGTGTGACTGCCCTCTGCTGGGCTGATGTTACACTGCACTTCAACACAGACATTCTGATGTTTAAATAAGAAATGAATCTCAACAACTCAAACTGAATCTGACTTGTTTGGTTTTTAATGTGACTACATATGGATTCCCTCAGTGCGGTCTTCTGTTGAACGTTCTCCATCCCACGGTCACTTGTCCTGGGCTCGTCTACTGTCATCCATCTACACACTTTCTTCCACTTTATCCTGGGCCAGGTCACGGAGGCAGCAGTCTGAGCAGAGAGGCCCAGACTTCCTTCTTCACCTGCTACAGCTGGATGAGGTGATCCCAGGCCAGCTCCTCACTCCTTCTTGACCACAACAGTCCCATAGAGAGACCGCATCACTGCAGACGCTGCTCCTTCCCTCACCCTGACCAAGACCTGAGATACTGGAACTCCTCCCCTCACAGAGGAGCCTCTACACCACCTGGAGAGGGAAAGGCCTCTTTCTTCGGTCTACACACCTTCCCCAATCAAGCGCTCTGATCTGCAGATTTCTTTTCCTGCACAGACATAATAAGACAGGACAATTACACTGTTGGAATCTTAATCCCCATGAAGATTTGCTGCTGTTCGTTGCTCTCACTTGTGTTGGAAATTCTAGTCTCGGTGCCTCTCAGCAGACATGGCTCTGATCTTATCTCCTCTGGTGTACCGCTGGGCTGTGGTCAAGTGCCAAGTGTGTTGCTGTCCGTGGTGCTGAAGCCTTCTTTGTGCCCAAGAGAATAGACGCAGGCTTATTTCATGGGTTAGGAGTGTGCTTGGCTTCAGTCTTATCAAACCACTGGTCTCTTGGGTCAATAGTGGGTGAATAGTGACTGTAAGGGGATTGATGACTCGTAGAAGGGGATAGCAGTTTTTTTAGTTCTAAAACAGAAATAATAACACCATATTAGATCACCGCTAAAAAGGAATTCAACGATTTTTAAACACAGCTTTCTTTCTTTGACCCTGTGATTTCAAGATCACAGGGTCAAAGGAAGAACACACAGCTCACCGTTGGTCCAAGGCCTTCAGGAGGTCCTCTCACTTGGGATGAGTCTGGTCTCTTTGTAGCAGGCTTTGTTCCTCTCTTCCTGATATCGACAGCAGCATCCACAGGTCCATCTCAGAAGAATAGATCCTACATTTGGTCAAATACAAGTTTATTCTAATGTACAGACACAAAGTGAACAGCTGTTTTCTCAGATATTGACTTACACATGTGGATCTGTGTTCTGTGGACTACATGTGGCTGGAGCTGGAAGTACAACATTGTAGTCGTTGTAGATTAAGAAAATGTGGCTGAGATGAAGAGGAGGACTTTTCCAACACTGGCCTTTGGTTCCTGTAATGAAAAGCAAATAATGCAGATCATGACATGTTAGTTTGAGTCTGGCACGTATAGTGATAGTGCAAACTCGACCTGAAGAGGGAAAGTCCTCCTTCTCTAGTCCAGAACTAAGGCCTTGGATTTGGAGGGACTCATTTTCACTCCAGCTGCTTCACATTCGGCTGCAAACTTTCCCAGTCAAATCGTCTCATTCCAGTGGCTTCGGAGTTCTCTGGAGATCTTCCTCAGGTTTCCTTCTTAATCAAACCAATGTGTTCTAAGACTGTAGTTCAGAAGAGCAGCAGACGACACAGGAGGCTCCTCACTGGGAATGAGTCAAGTCTGTGTGGATTTGTTCATCTTCCTCTGATGTGGACAGTGGTGCTTCACTGATGCTCCTATTGACAGCTGCATCAGGGACAGGTCCATCAGAGACAGCTGCATCAGGGACAGCTGCATCAGGGACTACTGCATCAGGGACAGATGCATCAGGAACAGCTGCATCAGGGACAGCTGCATCAGGGACAGCTCCATCAGGGACAGCTGCATCAGGGACAGCTCCATCAGGGACAGCTGCATCAGGGACAGCTCCATCAGGGACAGCTGCATCAGGGACAGCTGCATCAGGGACAGCTCCATCAGGGACAGCTGCATCAGGATCAGGTCCATCAGGGACAGCTGCATCAGGGACAGGTCCATCAGGGACAGCTGCATCAGGGACAGGTCCATCAGGGACAGGTCCATCAGGGACAGCTGCATCAGGGACAGCTCCATCAGGGACAGCTCCATCAGGGGCAGGTCCATCTGTGAACAGTGGGAACAGACTGAGTCGTTCTTTCATGGTGAGTTCAATAACGTTTTGAGGCTGACTCACCGGGACACGCAGGACGCTGCGGACTCCTGTCTCCAACTGGAAAAACAAATCTGAAAACAGACTTAAAGACATCTCTGACGATGACTCAGGGTCAGTTAAAGTCTCATGTGCTCATATACTAGGACTTTATAAGAACTATCTAACATGATGATATTTACCTGTCTTTTTGAGTGCTGTCAAAGCTGACAGTGTCTGTCCACAGACCCAAATGAACAAATAATGTCAAAGAACCATCTCCACAGAGACTCTTCACTCTGACACGTTATGAACACTTAAGTTCTAAATGTTGTATGTGTATGAGTGAGTGAAGGAGACATATAATTCATATTGTGTTGTAAATATATACTCTGTATGTGTCAGCAGGCTTTGTCTTGTAATGATAGCAATGATGTATTTAATAATAATAATAAATAGAAATAATGGATGTGTTTTATACAGTGCTTTTAAGGAGACTAAGACGCTGCACATCTTCCATACACGGTGGTGATAAACACCTACTGTAGCCATAGCTGCCCTGGGGCACAGAAACAAGGCAACTAGTATGTGCCATCAACCTCTCCGACCACCACCAACCATTCACACAAACACACACCAGACACATTCTAGGCAATGTGGGTTAAGTGTCTTGCCTAAGGACACAACAACAGTTTGGCACTTTACAGCCGCCCCACTGTGGCACCTGGTGTTCCCAGAGGTCTCCCATCACAGAACAAACCAGACCCTGCCCTGCACAGCTTCAGAGGTCTGATGGGATCTGGCTTTCACATGCAGGTATGGCCACATGCATCCATCCATCCATTTTCTTCCCTTAATCCATTTCTGGGTTGGGGGGTGGCAGTCAGAGCTGCACCCAGTACATTAGCACCAGCCCCTCACTGATCCTCCTGCAGGGTGAGTCCACGGAGCTGAGATCTTTCAGTGGGGCTTTAGGCAAAGTGGGGTTAAGTGTCTTGCCCAGGACACAATGACAGCAGTCATCAGTGGGAGTCATAGGTATTACGGTGGGCTCGAACCCATATCCTTCAGGCCCAACCATGCTCTACCAACTGAGCTACTGTGCCCGTTTCTGTATGTATGGCCACATACGTACATAAATAAAACGCAACATTTTACATGAACAGAAAAACTAGATTAATCAACGAGACCTGCAGAAGGAGCAGATGAATAAAATATGATTCATTGAAATCATTTGACAATGAAAAGGGAGGGATCACACCATCAACCCTGTAGATGGCGCTCCACCTTCTCTTCTGCTAACCCTCCTAAGCTCTAGAGCAGGGGTGGCCAAACTTCTGATCCGTGGGACAAAATGATTTTGATGTTCTGAGAGCCAAATCTAATAGTGTGCTCATCAAAACAGGTTTATTAGAGCAGCAGACAGGTACAATTAAACCTTCATTCATTTGGTCTTTTGAAGGAAACAGAGGCTCCTTCCTAATGTCACCACCCCTTCAGGACCACATTAGACCCCACAGAGGGACCAATGTGGCCCATGGGCCCCAGCTTGGGCAGCCCTGCACTAGAGTGAACACAAGGCCAGGGGTACTATGCAGGAAACCACACTAGAGTCAGCTTAAGCTCTTTTTTCATCCATTCTCAAATACAGTTAAGTCATTGAGTCGTTTTAGTTTTAGTTCTGTCAAAGTTGATCTGTGTTTGTTACCTTCCTACATACTATTCCTTTCCTTTAATACAAAAACACAGCAAAGGAGTGGGTATTGCACCAACAACCATAAATAAAGAAATCAACAAACTTTATATGTATAAAGTTTAAGGGCTGGTTATCGGGCAACTCCCCAGAGGAGAAAGCAAGGAGTACGATGGAGGACAGAGTGAGGCTGAAGATCTCTGCTCACATCAGCTTCATCTATTTACTTACTGCTCATGCTCAATGTGTTTCTGCTGTGAACAAATGTCATCTTTATGGAAGTCCTACATCGTTTTCTTTGCCTTCTCCTTTCTTGAAACAAACTACTACTAATACTAGAACAAGGGTCTTCAACCTACAGCACAGGAGCTACCAGTGGCTCTCCAGCTCTTTCAAAGTGGCCTGTGAAAGGGCTCAGGGAATCTACAAATGCTGCTCCAAAGTCTTTCTTCAGAGAAGTTACTCAGTGACATCATGTTTTGTAATACATGGAGAATGGTTTATGTTTTATATGGAAACATCTAACACTATCTCTCAACAGGTTGGAAACCCTTGTCCCAGAAAGAAACTACTTTTTGTGTTTAAAGTCAAAGTGTCAACACTTTGCACAATCAATAAATCAATCAATCAATAAATAAATGTCCAGAGGTGAAATTGGGCGCTGCTGAAGGTGGAGTGTGCGGCCCATGTGAAGCACTTTGTGACCTCCTCTGGCTGTCTAAAGTGCTGTAGAAATAAGTGCTGCCTTCTCTCCTCCAGGTGCTCAGTCTCAGGCTCAGGTTGATCTTCAGTCCTGCTCTGAGTCGGAGTCTTGGGGCAGGTGGGGCTGGAGGAAGTATCGGGTGAAGCCTTCCAACGTCCCAGCAGAGTCGGAGAGGGTGGGCTCCTCAAAGATGTCCTCGTCGTAGGAAAAGCGTGGCCTCTTGGAGATGGGCTCCTCCTCTTCCTCTTCGTCCCTGTGGCGCCTGGCCCTTGTTAGGGGCACAAAGTCCTGGAAGCTCACAGGGGGACGGGAGGGCACGAGGTCTGGACTGGGAGACGAAGGGGACCATTCCGGCACAGTCTGGTTGTCCTCTTCACCCTCTGTGTCCTGGTCTTCCTCCTCACTCTTCGCGTCCTGGTCGTACTCTTCATCGTCTGGGACAAGTGCATCGTCCCAGTCACTGTTCTCATCCCAGAAAACGTCCAAGGGGGAGGCGTCCCAGTCCTCCCAGTCCTCCCAGTCCGCGTCATCGTCCATGCCGGCCTCTGGCACGAGAGCTTGATCCCAGAGGTGGATGTCAAATTCCACTTCATCAGACTCCAAGTCCAAACCATAGACGTGACGCAACACGTGATAAGCCCACCTTACCTGCGACTCACCTGCGTCCTCCTGGTCGTCAGCAAGAAGCACCTGCAGGGCGTCCCACGCTGTTGGAACATAATGACAACATGAACAACTTCCTCACACACTGTTTTTGTTTTGTCAAAGTTACAGTCAAACACACAAGTATTCACCGTTATGAAGACTAAAATACTGTTTGACTTATGAAAACCTCTTCATGTTTCACCCTGTGTAAGGTTCACAAACCCATTCATTTCAAACTAAATGAGTTGTCAACGTATTCAATAATGGATTTAACTGTTACAGCATGAAGAACTTTCAGTCAAATTATTTGTAGCAGTGAGAAAGGTTCAATTAATGAAGATATGAATGTAACTGGAAATGTTTTGGTTGTAACTACTACTCTACTCTGTTCATGTGTGTAACCAGTTACATTAGTGAGTTACAACTAAATGAACAAGTGACTTTTGGAGCTGTTTCTCCAACACTGATCAGGTCACGGTCACATGTGCACAACAGCTGCTCTCATCTACCTTTAGCACTGGATACATTTGATGTTAAAACTCAAATACTGACGATAAAGCTGTGATAACGTTTTAATTACAGCCTTTCTGATCAACTTTGTCTGTTTTCAGCAGCTTTTACACATGTGACCAAAAGTCTATGTCTTAAAGAAGCACTTTCATAGTTGCCCTGCCACATGCTAGCTAGCGTTAGCTCCTGACACAGACATGTGGTCCATCCAAACAGCCACACATGGACTAAAGTGAGAATATCACGTCTTTTACCCATATTTCATGATCATTTCAGTGATCAGTAAGTGATGTGGTGTTACCTCCAGGCGGCAGGGGCAGGTCGGCCGGGGCGTGGAAGGGGAGAGCCATGAGAGCCAACAGTGTTTGTTCACAGAGCTTTTCAAAGCTGAAAAGTGTCAACAAACCAGTGTTAGACAGTGTCCTGGTGCTACAGTGTTTTATCACAGCTTGGTCCTTAAACAAAGATGAGATGAAGAGAGTTCTGCACAAGTGTCAGCGTCCAACAGCAAGTGAAGTGAGCGTTGAGCGAGCAGCGTTTGAATATAAACACTCTGCGTCTCCATGGCAACGGCAGGTGCACCTGGCTCTGACATGTAAATACAAATAGAAACAGTAAAGAGTTTTAGTCCAGCCCATATGGAAGAGCCCAGTGACTCTCGAAGTGTGCGGTAAGGCCAGTGACGTGCGGTCAGATGAGGCAGGCCTCACCTACGATCATGGGAAGAAAAAATAATAAAATGGAAATAACAATACTTGGTCACTTTATCAAGTGATTTATGTTTTTGTATTATTTTCATGTAACTTTGCCTTATTTAATTAATTTTTACCTTAAAATCGCAAAATTTTCGTCATATTTCCTCACTTGGGAGACGTAAATGCCTGTAGTTCATAGAGGCAGGAGCCTGTGCGCTGCCATCGAACTATTTTCTCTGTTTATCGCGGTTTACAAAGTTCAAACATTCTTCCTTTACAATCAACATCTCCAGATGAAGCTCTTCGCGAAAGTTCACTGTGGTAGACCCGGCCACTGCTGCCAGATCTACAAGCCTGCTCATCCTCTACTCATTACACCAGCAAAACGCCCACATCTAATCCACCAATAACCACCAGGACAGCAAGTTAAAAGCCGGAGACGCCCACTTTCCCGGCCTTCTGAAGTTTGCAAACTTCTGAAGCCTGCAAGGTGCATGTCGCTAACGCACCTGTTCGCAAATGCATGCGTTGTTCTGGAGGGGTCGCTTCTGCTCACGTGTTGCTCGTGCGCGTGGCCCGGCTGTCCTCAGTCTGGCTGCTCGTGGTCTGCTCCTCCTTCGCGTCCCTGCACCTGCTATGGTTCGCGTGTCTCCACTGCTTTCCTCCTCTGTGGGCTGATCCGCGGGGCCCCTCCGCGGGGCCCCTCTGCAGGTTCTGTGCTGCTCGTTC